TGTCATTATTTGAAGTGGGTCTGCTTTTGATAAAAAAAAACCCATAGTTGACTGCCAACCTATATTTTCTTCAGCTGTTCACACACCGCACATTTAAAGCACATTTCACTACCACCACCAAAGTGTACCGGGAACTGTTGTTCGTGTTGGGATTTGTAGCTCTGTAAGGGGTAAAATAAGGGACGCAGGTGGCGCTGTGGGTTAAACCACAGAGCCTAGGACTTGCCGATCAGAAGGTCGGCGGTTCGAATCCCCGCCACGGGGTGAGCTCCCGTTCCTCGGTCCCTGCTCCTGCCAACCTAGCAGTTTGAAAGCACGTCAAAGTGCAAGTAGATATATAGGTACCGCTCTGGCGGGAAGGTAAACGGCGTTTCCGTGCGCTGCTCTGGTTCACCAGAAGCGGCTTAGTCATGCTGGCCACATGACCCGGAAGCTGTACGCCGGCTCCCTCGGCCAATAAAGCGAGATGAGCGCCGCAACCCCGAGAGTCAGCCACAACTGGACCTAATGGTCAGGGGTCCCTTTACAGTATTATTGGAGGGGTGTGTGTGCAGCTTTAAATATTTGGCGTGTGTACAATGTATCTGCCTTGGATTAAAGTTTGCATTTAATCTATGGAACTGTCTTCATATATTGTTTTTAACTGTCTCTATACAGAGAATTTGATATACATTTTTTAAAAAAATGAATGGAATTGCGTTTAATTGGGGGTTTTTTGCATATGAAACTGCAGTTTAATAGCAATTGTGAGATTGCTGTGAGATATGTTCGTGCGAAGCAATTAACACAGTCAGGTACATAAAGGAATAATTTTACAAAAAGAATAGAACAGGCGGGTGTTTTGAAGCCTAAGGGATGCCAGTTTTCTCTTGCCCGTGCCAGGCCTCGCTGGCATTGGCACAGTGCATCAAAACACAGTGGTGTCGTCCAGAGATGGGGAACAGCCAGACCTGTCTTGCCACTTCTAGATTCTGAAACAGGAATTTCTCAGCAGAGGGAACACTAGGCTCTCGTGATTGGCACACCCACAATGGTTGTCCAGCCGTGTTTACACTACACAGGAGCTCATGCTGGCGTTTTATAAAAATGGCCTGCCTCGTAAAAAGCCGGCCTTTTGCAAGAGTTCGACCCCTCAAATAACGCTTTGAAAGAGGTGAGCAGAGGTTTGCAAATGGGTTGCCATATTGATGAAGAACAGGGGTCAGCAAACTTTTTCAGCAGGGGGCCGGTCCACTGTCCCTCAGACCTTGTGGGGGGGCTGGACTGTATTTTGGAAAAATATATATAAATGAATTCCTATGCCCTGTTGTAAAGAAAAAATTGCCCTTTTCCCTTATGGGGTATCCAAGAGCCCATGTAGAGTCCGCCCAGAGTGGCTGGGGAAACTCAGCCAGATGGGTGGGGTATGTATGTATGTATGTGTGTGTGTGTGTGTGTGTGTGTGTGTGTGTATATATATATATATATTATTTATTTATTTATACATACATACATACATACATACCCCGCCCATCTGGCTGAGTTTCCCCAGCCACTCTGGGCGGCTCCCAATCAAGTGTTAAAAACAGTACAGCGTTACATATTAAAATCTTCCCTGAACAGGGCTGCCTTAAGATGTCTTCTGAATGTCAGGTAATTGTTTATCTCTTTGACATCTGATGGGAGGGCGTTCCACAGGGCGGGCGCCACTACCGAGAAGGCCCTCTGTCTAGTTCCCTGTAACCTCACTTCTCGCAGCGAGGGAACCGCCAGAAGGCCCTCGGCGCTGGATCTCAGTGTCCGGGCTGAATGATGGGGGTGGAGACGCTCCTTCAGGTATACAGGACTGAGGCCGTTTAGGGCTTTAAAGGTCAGCACCAAGACTTTGAATTGTGCTCGGAAACGTACTGGGAGCCAATGCAGATCTCTCAGAACCAGTGTTATGTGGTCCCGGCGGCCACTCCCAGTCACCAGTCTAGCTGCCGCATTCTGGATTAATTGCAGTTTCCGGGTCACCTTCAAAGGTAGCCCCACGTAGAGTGCGTTGCAGTAGTCCAAACGTGAGATAACTACATAGGTTCCCTATTGGTGGGAGAGCATAACAGAGGCCAACCCGAGAATATTGAGAAGCAAAGCAGCTAGTAAGCTTGATCTTTATTGATCTGTTGCAACAGGGTGCTCCCCTCACCCACAGGAGAGGAGGAACCCAGAAAAATGGCACGCAAGGCCTTATAAAGACTTTTGAAATTGCCACCCTGTAGATCAAGGCCACCCCCAGAAACATCATACATACATCACAGAAGGGGTGTAACCTAAGACCACCCCTCAGATACATCACACCTGTATCACAGAAAAGGCAGTCTAAACCCAAATTTGAATGTTGTTTTTCTCCTGCCCTTGTTTATCTCCTGTCTGGCAGGTTACTTGATTGGATTGCCTGGGGAGCCTGGCCAGTCTTTTGTAATGATAAATACTTAGTTCCTGGGCCAGGTCACAGGCTCACACCCTATTCTTATCTTAAATGTGTCCTTAAGACAAGATTTGTGGAGGAAAAGACAATGGGAGGTGTCCCACTTTGACCTTGCAGAGAAAACATTTGCTTAGTTTAGGAATCAAAATGGTTCCAGGTCGGTCTTCCTGTGCTGATCTATGTACGTGCTTGGTTGGTACGCTTATGAACATTACCATATGTCTAAGACCATAAAATTCCTATCACAGCCCCACAAATAACCCAGAGATGCATTTTAAATAAAAGCACACATTCTACTCATGTAAAAACAAGCTGATTCCCGGACCATCCACGGGATGGATTTTGAAGGCGATTGGGCCAGATCCGGCCCCCGGGCCTTAGTTTGCCTACCCATAATTAAGAAGCACATGTTCATGGTTCGAAGCCTTTGTCATTAGTGGTGTTTGTAGCAGAGGTTTAAATTTTGATGCTAGCATGACAGGAAAACCCTGGAAACAGTGGCGTAGTGTGGGGGGTGCAGGGGGGCCGGCCGCACCGGGCGCAACATCTGGGGGGGGGCGCTCGCACTCGCAGCTCTCTGCCCCTACCTGGCTCGCTCACTCTCTCTCACTGCAGTGCTGGCTGTGCGAATCCGATCCGAGCCGCTGGGTCGCCGCCCACTGTGGAGGGGGTGGGTGCCAGGCGTGCGGTGCGGAGAGAGAGCGAGGGACTATCTGGGGGAGGGACAGTGCAGTGGCCGCCCAGCGCAGCGCTGAGCGCGGGAGAGAACCACACCAGACCAGGCAGCAGCAAGAAGAAGCTGGCAGCGGCGGCAGGTTAGAGGTTAGGGGGCGCAAATTACTTGCCTTGCCCTGGGTTAGGGGGCGCAAATTACTTGCCTTGCCCCGGGTTAGGGGGCGCAAATTACTTGCCTTGCCCCGGGTGCTGACAACCCACACTACGCCGCTGCCTGGAAAGCCCACTGAAATCTTGCAAAAGGCAAGCAAAGAAGGGGGAAAAGCAATCTTATTTATCCGATCTCTCCCCCTTGGTCCATCCTGCCGTGGTTTCTGGTGAAATGGTTTCCATGGACCAACAAAACACAAAAATTAAGGCACTATATATGCAGGCTGTTTGGATATCTGAACCTGCAGTGTGTTTGGGTACTGATTTGGATAAGTGAATTTTTGTACAGCGAGTGTTTGGATAGCAAGACCTGTGCCCATCGTTCAGTCCTCCCGAAGCACAGAGTTTTATATTCCAGCATTCCCTTTTCTAGGCTACACTCTATGATCTCTGGCACAGCAGGCAGCCTTTCCACTCCCCATTGCCTTCTAATCCACATTTTGCAAGATCTGTAGGTGGTTTTGAGATCCAAATCGAACTTGACAGCTTACCCGCCTTCGCCACCCACCTCAACAGTTTTAAATATTAACTCAGGCCATTCCCACCCTAGCCCTAAGAAGGGAGATATCACAACCAACTCCTTTTCAGGGATTAGAAGAACAGCAGTTATAAAGGATCGGAGTAGGATCAGGAAGGCTGTGAAGCTCAGTCGGCGGCCCTGGGCCCTTTCTGAAATATGGCAGCCCTGGGTGATAGAGGATGAATGGGGAACTTAAGGCCCAGGACCAAGTACAGTGGTACCTCAGGTTAAGCACTTAACCTGAAACTGTTCTTAACCTGAAGCACCACTTTAGCTAATGGGGCCTCCTGCACAATTTCTGTTCTCATCCTGAAGCAAAGTTCTTAACCCGAGGTAATATTTCTGGGTTAGCGGAGTCTGTAACCTCAAGCGTCTGTAACCCGAGGTACCACTGTACAGTACAGCCTTCCGGATGCTCCTTAGGCCACGCCCCCTTTTCTGTAGACCACGCCCCCACCAGCCACGCTTCATACCCTCCTTTGGCGCTTTTGCCCGACTGGGATTTGTCGCTAAAAGGTGCTTACGGTATGTCTCTTTCTTGCCTGGATGGAGAATGGACGATGGAGAGGTCTGTGCGTAGAGAACTTTGCTTTGCTGAAATGCAGTCACATCCAACACCCCACCCCCTTTTGCCCCAAGCCCCACCCACCATTGTCCTGGCCCGCCCCCGCCAACATGAGGGAATGCGGCCCTCGGGCTGGAAAAAGCTCCCCTTTCCTGTATTTTTCTTTTCTTTTAAGTACATCTTAGCCATCCTTGTTTTAAAAAACGAAACTAAAAACACGCCAGGTTAGAGGGAGGCTCTTGTTGCGGGGGGTGCATTCATTTAAAAATAAACGAAACAAGCCTACAAACCTGTTTGCCCAACACCAGAGGCGCCTCTTCCTTATTATGCGCCAAATAACACTGCGATCTATCCCAACGCCCACCCGGTACACCCCCTTTCCCGGAAACCATCCAGCGGGGGAAATGGAACGGAGTCTTCGCGACAGGGGTGGAACGCTCGGAAGTCTCGGCGGCCGCAGCCCACGCGGTTCGGAGTGCGCCGTCAACGTTCCGTGAACTCTACGGCCCCGCCCACGCCTGGGGAGCGGAGCAACTTCTTCAAAGCTCCGTGGAACGTTGGAACGTTTCGCGCGGCGGGGTTTGGAACGTTGAGGCCGCCGAGCGTTCCATCGCGCGGAACGTTCAGGCTGCCGGCGTTCCATCAGTCCGGGGCAGCGGCAACCGATCTTGCAAAGGGTTCAGCCCCGAGGGGGCGGGAGATTTATTTAATTTATTTATTTCGAGGGGACGGACGACACAGGATCCTCCTCCTCCTCCCTCTCGACTTCCCTGCACCCCACATTGACGCTCCTACCGGCTCAGGGGGAGGGAAGGGCCGGCCGCTGCAGAAGGCGGCCCACCGCCCGCCCCTTCCATCACTCTCTCACTATCTCTCCCGCCCGACGACGACGACGGCGGCAGCTCCACCTTCTCTTTCGCCGCCGCCGCCGCCGCCGCCCGGCCTGCTGTTGACAAACACGGCGTTCGAGGCGGGCGTCCCGTTGGCGAGCGCCTCTTCTGTCTCCGGAGCAGATCCCCGGAGCGCCTGGGCGGCCGGCAGGCGGGGAAAGGCTCGCGGGGAGCCGGGGAAGGGATGTGGCAGACGCTGGCCCTCGGAGCTCTCTTCTTCCCGGGGCTTTTCGCAGTCTCCGTCCGCAGCCTGCGCTGGCTGGCGCCGGCATGGAGCCTCAAGGACCGGATCGTCCTCAGCGGCAGGTACCGGCTGGCACCGAGGGGGGAGAGAGAGGGAGGGAGACCGACGGGAAGCCAGAGGTGCGGGGAGGGGGCAGAGGCGGAGGGAAAGGGAAGGCATTCCACCCGGATCCTCTTATGCAACCGGATGGAGTTGAATGAAAAGCCGGCGCAAAGTTCTTGCAGGCGCGGGAAGCCGGGTCGGATCCGGCGTAAGCCCGACTCAGAGTAGACCCGCCGGCCTCAACAAGCCTCACACTGCGATCTATTAACTTCCATGTGTGTAGCTTTTGGATGCTACCCCTAGACGGCGGGTCTTTCTCCCTCTCCCTCCCCCGGCTGGAGGGATCCAGCTCTCCGTGGCCGGGATCGAGGGAGAGCGAGCAGCTGGCGCGAACTTTCAGAAACCTCTTCTCCATCCAGGCTTGGCTGCCTGTGGTTTGAAGAGCAAGGCCGGCTGCTTACGAGCCGCACAGGGTTCCTCGGCGGGCGGGCGGGCTTTGGGAAAAGGCAAACGGGGCCAGTTCGACCCCTTAACAACACAGAAGGATCCCATATAGCGGGTTCGGGGGACGTTGGAGGGCCCCCCGATGTTGTTGGACGCCTCCGTTGACCCTAACCATTGGCACTGCTGTCTGCTGGGAGTTGCAATCCAACAGCAGCTCAGCAACCTCAGTCCGGATATGTCGGTTGCAAATGCAATTGCTCTAGTTTTGCTTTTTTGCCTCTTCTGTTTGGGGGATCCAGAGGGGCTTGCGGGGGGGGAGGGAAGAGGACCCCTTAAGGCCCATGGGAGGAAGTGGAGTCTCTCCCTGCCTCCCTAAGAACAGCAACCCTGGTTTAAGGGCAGGGCAAAGGCTTTCAACAGGAGTTTAAGGGCAGGGCAGCGATAAGGCAGGGACATTCCTGTCCAGATGAAAGAGAAGATTGCGAGGCAGGCAAGAGACTATCCTTAGGGAGCCGTAGGGAATGGCTCCTGTTGCTTAGCAACAGAGCATCTGCTTTGCATGCGGAAGGTCTCAAGTTCAACCCCCAGGACTGCCTGAAACTTTGGAGAGCTGCTGCCAGTCAGTGCAGTCAATACTGAGCTTGCATGCAGAAGGCTGCAGGTTCAATCACCAATAGCATCTCCTTCAGGGCTGGGAAAGGCTCCCTGTCTGAAATCCCAGGGAGCTGCTGCAGGTCAGTGCATGCAGTAGGCCCCCTGAAACTCTAGAGAGGGGCTGCCAGTCAGTGCAGGCAATACTGAGTCAAATTTACGGATGGTTTTGCTCTGTAGAAGGCTGCATATGTCGAGTGAGTGAATCTCTTCATGGCACATTTTCTTCTTAAAAAAATAAATATTATTCATATACAGTGGTACCTCGGGTTACATTTGCTTCAGGTTACAGACTCCGCTAACCCAGAAATAGTGCTTCAGGTTAAGAGCTTTGCTTGAGGATGAGAACAGAAATTGTGCTCCGGCGGCGCGGCGGCAGGCCCCATTAGCTAAAGTGGTGCTTCAGGTTAAGAACAGTTTCAGGTTAAGAACGGACCTCCGGAATGAATTAAGTACTTAACTCGAGGTACCACTGTAATGATATAATTGCAATTTAGGAACCAGAGGGGGAGGGTCCGTGTTTGTGCAAATTCAGCCATCGGAGTCATAGGAAAGATGGCAGGAAGTTTTCGCTATGGGATGCTCAGTATGTTATGTGGGGGAAGTTGGGAACAGCTCGGTCTGGTGAAAAGTTGGGATGGAAATGTCGTCAAGGAACAAGAGAAGCAAGATCGTTCCGAAGCCAGATCCCCAAAGAAAGGCTTATATTTATTGGAAGGACAGACATTTCATGGAGTTGGGACCCCAGTGGCCATCTAGTCCAACCCCTGCAATGCAGGAATTTCAACTAAAGCATCTTTGACAGATGGTCTCTGCTTAGGGAGTCCGTTCCACTGTCAAACAGCTCCTGCTGTCAGAAAATGCTTCCTAATGTTTAGTCGGAATCTCCTTTCTTGAAACTTGAAGCCGTTGCTTTGAGTCCTACTTTCCAGAACAGGAGAAAACAGGCTTGATCCATCTGACAGCCCTTGAGATATTTGAAGATGGCTATCATCTCTCCTCTCGGTCTCCTCTTTTCCAGGCTAAACAGACCCACCTCATCAGGCTTGGTTTCCACACCCCATGATAATCTTTGTCTCCCTCCTCTGCACACATTCCAGCTTGTCAATATCCTTCTTAAATTGGGGCACCCAGAACTGGGCACAGTCTTCCAGGTGTGGTCTGACCAAGGCAGAAGAGAGCGGTACTGTTCCTTCCCTTCCGGGTGGCGCTGTGGGTTAAACCACAGAACCTAGGACTTGCTGATCAGAAGGTCGGCGGTTCGAATCCCCGTGACGGGGTGAGCTCCCGTTGCTCGGTCCCTGCTCCTGCCCACCTAGCAGTTCGAAAGCACACCAGTGCAAGTAGATAAATAGGTACTGCTCTGGCGGGAAAGTAAACGGCGTTTCCGTGCGCTGCTCTGGTTCGCCAGAAGCGGCTTAGTCATGCTGGCCACATGACCTGGAAGCTGTACGCCGGCTCCCTTGGCCAATGAAGCGAGATGAGCGCCGCAACCCCAGAGTTGGTCACGACTGGACCTAATGGTCAGGGGTCCCTTTACCTTTATTCCTTCCCTTCCTCTGGACACTAGATTTCTGTTGATACAGCCAAGAATAGCATTCACTTTTTTTGCTGCTGCATCACACAATCATGAGCAGCTTGTGGTCCACTAAGACCCCTAGATCCTTTTCACATGTCCTACTAGCAAGCCCCACCTTATATTTGTCCAGCTGCTTCTTCCTGCCTAAGTGTCCCTTATTGAAATCCATGTTAGTTTCGGCCCAGTTCTCCGGTCTGCAGAGGTAATCTGGAATCCCAGTTCTGCCTTCTGCGGCATTGGCTACCCTTCCCGGCTTGGTGTCATCTGCAAATTGGATTCCACTCTCTCTCCACCAGGAATCCCAGCTGGGGACAAGCCGCTTGCGAAATGGGTTTGGGTGTTTATTTTGCTGCAGGGGAGGCTACGAGTTCGCAGGAACAGTGCCATGACCCTCACTATTACACAAGAACACAGCCTTCCTCGCAGTCAGGCTGTTGGTTTCACCCTCCTCCGTATTACTGACACTCGCTGCTCTCCAGGATTCCCTGTCAGGGAGCGTTACCCAACCCTGTCTGGAGATGCCGGGGTTGGATCCAGGGCCTTCTGCATGCCAAGCAGATGCTCTGCCACTGTGGACAAGTTACAGGGAACCAGGCAGAGGGCCTTCTCGGTGGTGGCACCCGCCCTGTGGAACACCCTCCCACCGGATGTCAAAGAGAAAAACAACCACCAGACTTTTAGAAGACATCTGAAGGCAGCCCTGTTTAGGGAAGCTTTTAATGTTTGATGCATTGCTGTATTTTAATATTTTGTTGGAAGCCGCCCAGAGTGGCTGGGGAAGTCCAGCCAGATGGGCAGGGTATAAATAATAAATTATTATTATTATTATTATTATTATGGACACAGTGCTTTGGCGAAGTCTCTGCCCCAGTGCTCCAGCCTCCCCAGTCAGGCTGTTGCCTCACTTAGAAATGCGTCGTTCCTCATCTCTGAAAAGAAAACCCTTTGAAGATTCAGCTCAGGACTGGTCTGGGAGGGGAGAATTCCTGTGTATTCATCACAAACCTCCCACCCAACTGTTGAAAGCAGAGCTTCCCAAACTGAATCGTAGGCTGCATACTTGAGACGCACGATGCTCTTTAAACATCAAAAGACTTTCGACATTGAACTTCAGGGCACACGCGACTCCTACATCCATTTAACAGACTGTGTCCAAGATCATAGGCTCCTCTCCCCAAAAGGAACACACCAACCTCTCTATATTGTCCCAGGATGCTAATTTGGGAGTGCTTCTGGATTGGGAGACGGGAGTCCTGGAGCAGGGATTCGTGCAGGGGTGCAACGGGCAGCCTCATCCTAGGGCAGGCAATTCTCTGACGTTTGGAGTGAGAAAGGACCAGTCACAGCAGGTTCAGAGGTGTGGCCGAACTTGCGGAAGAGAAGAACAGGGACTCGGCATTTTGTTTTAAAGCAGATTTCCCAACTGCACAAATGCCCCGCCACACACCCGACGATAATTTTCAAAACAATCATTACAGGCAAAAGCATACTTTGCTCCTTGCTTACGTCCTGTATCAGTGGCAGCTTCTTCTTAGGGATCAGTGGTGTTTTGTGTCTGATTGCACACTAAAAAATAAATCCCAGGGTATCGCCCAGAGATGCGCCGGGCAGCCTCCTATGCAAAATAGCAGTTTGGCCCTGCGGGAGCCTTAAGTGACAATTTGTTTCTGATCTGGGAATGCACGTCTTGATTTTGAGTGAGGGGAGCCTGGAGCAGCAACTCTGGCAGAGTTGCAACAGGGAACCTCCTCAGAAGACCCAGGCGGTTCCCTTGTGTTTCCACGTCTAGAGCAGGTTGATCAATCCATTCACACCAGACACAGAGAGATTTGATTGAATTACCTGCATCCTGGCATCTCTCTCCCTCTTGCATAACAACATGAGAACAGGATGGATCGGTGTGGGGAAAGTATGTAGAGAAAAGCTTTCCTTGCCTCTCGTAACATTCGAACCCATGGCCAGCCAATGGAGCTGAAGGTCGGGAGATTCAGGGCAGATAAAAGAAAGCCATGGTGGCAATGTTCTTCCTCCACAGCCAGGCGCAGTCTACCTCTGAATACCAGTTGCTGAAAATTCTGATTGCCGTGGTTCTCAAATCCTGCTTGGTGGCTTTGCTTGGGGACATTGTGTTGGCCACTGTCAAAACAGGATACTTGGCAGCCAGCCTCCCTTTGCCTTCTTCTCCCCCTCCCCCCATTTTAAAAATTCATTTTATAAGACAACTAAGACAGCATCTTAAAAAGCAGAGACATCACCTTGCCAACAAAGGTCCGTATAGTTAAAGCTATGGTTTTCCCAGTAGTGATGTATGGAAGTGAGAGCTGGACCATAAAGAAGGCTGATCGCTGAAGAATGGATGCTTTTGAATTCTGGTGCTGGAGGAGACTCTTGAGAGTCCCATGGACTGCAAGAAGATCAAACGCATCCATTCTGAAGGAAATCAGCCCTGAGTGCTCACTGGAAGGACAGATCCTGAAGCTGAGGCTCCAATACATGAGAAGAGAAGACTCCCTGGAAAAGACCCTGATGTTGGGAAAGATGGAGGGCACAAGGAGAAGGGGACGACAGAGGACGAGATGGTGGGACAGTGTTTTCAAAGCTACCAAACTGCGGGAGGCAGTGGAAGACAGGAGTGCCTGGCGTGCTCTGGTCCAGGGGGTCATGAATAGGTGGACACGACTAAACAACAACAACACAACTAAACAACACAAACAGAAAAACAAACAATACAAACAAATTCTTGTCTTATCCTTATTTTTTCTAAACATTGTTAGATGAGCTTCCCCAAGTCCCTGCTATCTGATTTTCATTTTACCTCATCTTTAGCAGTTTACATATATCATAATTTCTAGCCATTTTTTTAATCACGCTTACTTTTACCATAAAAATCTTCACATTTGATCACTTACAAATAATACTATTTTAAAATACACTATCTTCTACTTCTAACCCTACAGCCTATATCCACTTCCAGAGCCATTCTAAGATTTAAATATTAACATATTTTTTCAAAAATTCTTTAAACTTCTTCCAACCTTCTTCCACCGTCTCTTCTCTCTGGTCTCGGAGTCTCCCGGTCAGTTCGGCAAGTTCCATATAGTCCATCATGTTCATCTGCCATTCTTCGATAGTTGGTAAATCTTGTTTCTCGCAGCTGTTGTGGCATACAGGGGAAAAAAAGTAACATCCTTTTTGGGGGATTTCACCCCCCACTCTACCAAGTCAAAAGGCTTCTGATTTCTTAATAAATATGTTTTTCAACACTTTTTTCAGTTCATTATAAATCCTTTCCCAGAAGTCTTTTACCTTGGGGCGCGTCCACCACATGTGGTAAAAGGTTCCTTCTTTTTCCTTACATTTCCAGCATTTATTATCATGATATGAGACATATTTGCTCCTTTTGCCTTCTTCTGGTGGGGAGAATGCCCTCCCCCTCTTGCCACAAAGAATCACCCTCCACTCCCTTGGATAATAGAAAATTCATGATTTTCACCCTGCACATTTCTCGCCCCCCGCTAATTTGCACCCAACACTTAATAGTGTTTTTTAAACATTTCAATATCCAGGAAATCCTTGGAGGTATTTGGGGAAGACAGGCGCCCCGTGGCCCACTAGTAAAAGCCCCCCACCATTCTTTTCCCCCCCCCCAAATAAATTTTTATTGTTTTCAACAAGTAATTCTTTTTCCAACAATCCTTTTTGTCACATTATAATCCCTTTGTCTCTGCCGAGTCCTGACTTCCTCCCGACCGCTGGTATATACATCACATACTTTTTGCGTATATTATTGTCATAACTCTATTGCTTTACATTGGAGCTGTTATTCCAGTCCTTAATATTTTTGTTGTTCTCCTTTATATATTCAATACATTTATTCCAATTGTTATTGTACCTCTGGTCCTCTTGGTCCCGGATCCTTCCTGTCAATTTGGCAAGTTCCGCAAAATCTTATCATCTTCACCTGCCACTCCTGGATGGTTGGTAAATCTTGTCTTTTCCATTTTTGGGCCAGTAAAGTTCTTGCGGCGGATGTGTAGTACATGAACATTCAAAATAGTTGGCCATTGTATCTCGTCTCCTCTCGGCTCACAAGTCTCCCAGCAGGACCGAGGCGCAAACTGATGACTCAACGGAAGGCCAAACTCAACCAAAGACACAACCCTGCCGGAGAACCAATGTATAAATACGAGAAAGGGAAACCACTGTTTATTGATTCAAGGGTATTTACTTTTGTCTCTCGGGACGTGGTGACCGTGCCAGTTTCAGTTTGAACCTCTTTGTGGCAAGACTGAGCCTTTCCCCCGCCCCACCCCAAAGTTCAAATGATAAGCTGCCAATCAGGAAGTCGCAGAATGCTGGAAATTGTAGGAATGGGTCGCAAAAACATCTCTGTGTCCACTTTCCTCACCCTGTGAGTCATTTTAGGCACCCCCTACATTCTAGGAGGGACGCAGGTGGTGCTGTGGGTTAAACCACAGAGCCTAGGACTTGCCGATCAGAAGGTCGGCGGTTCGAATCCCCGCGACGGGGTGAGCTCCCGTTGCTCAGTCCCTGCTCCTGCCCACCTAGCAGTATGAAAGCACGTCAAAGTGCAAGTAGATAAATAGGTACTGCTCTGGCGGGAAGGTAAACGGTGTTTCCGTGCGCTGCTCTGGTTTGCCAGAAGCGGCTTAGTCATGCTGGCCACATGACCCAGAAGCTGTACGCCGGCTCCATCGGCCAATAAAGCGAGATGAGCGCCACAACCCCAGAGTCGGCCACGACTGGACCTAATGGTCAGGGGTCCCTTTACCTTCAAGTTCTAGGATTCTGCAGATCTAGCTCCGGGGAACCTGCAGCCAGCCCTCCAGATGTTGTTAGACTCCAATTCCCATCAGCCCCTGCTGGCCAAGTCCATGGTCAGGGGAATGATGGGAGCTGGAGTCCAGCTACAGTGTACAAACATTTCCCTCCTTGACCATTGTTTTCTCCCTAGGCTGGTGTCGTCTGTCCAGGCCATGATGGCCACTCTTTCCGGGATCATTGTCATCTTCAGCTGCGAGGACGTCGTGCACGACAGGTAATTAAAGAGAGGCTTGTAAACTGAAGCCAGGTGTGCAGATTTTCATCTGCCCTTATCAGAGGACTTTCACCTGCCAGAGATAAGGATGCTTGGACTGCAGGCCTCTTCCTCCTGAACAAATCGCAGAGAGGCATGCTTCCGAATAAAGGTGTGTGGTGATCGGGGCTGCCTTGAGATCAAGCAGCCCTTGCTGCTGGGTTTGACGTATTTCGCTGAATCATACAATGGATGGGATCCCAGAGATAATCTAGTCCAACCCTCATCCAGATTGGAATTAGGGTGTGTTTGTGATGGGGAGAGGGTCCTAGTTTAGTGGTAGAGAGAATCTGCTCTGCACGCAGAAGGACCCAGGTTCAGCCTCCATTGCCAGGTAGGACAGGTTGAGACTGCCTGCCTGAAATCCTGGGCAGCTGCTGCCAGCCAGTGCAGACAATACTAAGTCCAATGGACTCTGTAGTTCGACTCTACAAAGGCAGCTTTCTTTGTTGCTGAGACCCGGATCCAGACCTGGAGTGCAGGTTCTCTGACTCAGGTGCAGGAGGTTGCAGGAAGCGCTAGGAGGATGGCAATGCTCCTCATAGGAAGCTGTCCATCTAGATCAATACTGCCTACACTGGCTGGTAGCAGCTCTCCGGGGTTTCAGGCAGGGGTTCAGTGTAGATAACTGCCCTGGACTGGCTGGAAGCAGATGAATGATGGGAGGAACCAACTGGGGAACCACGAAGGCAGGCAGCCCCCAACTCGGCCCTCCAGATGTTTTGGGACTACAGCTCCCACCATCCCTAGCTAACAGGACCAGTGGTCAGGGATGATGGGAATTGTAGTCCCAAAACATCTGGAGGGCCGAGTTTGGGGGTGCCTGCACTAAGGGAAGAAGGCTCAGAGCCTGTTGGTGACTGGGGTGACAATGCTGAGTGATCAGAGGGAGAAGACTAGGAAGAGGAAGGGCTGGAAGCTGAAGAGTTAATAGACCTTCGTGAGCTGGGAGAGTCTGTGGCAGAGAGAAGTGCAGAAACAGCGGCAGAAGCTAAAGCGGGGGAGTGGGATGCAGGAGGCTAAGAGACAGAGATGGCTGGTGAAGAGTCATGGGTGTCTTGCCCTCTTTCTGCGACAAGCTCCCCTCCACGCTTATCTCCCAGAACCAGAAGAGGCATGAAAAGGGCAGAGGAGAAAATGGGGACTACTCTGAAGAATATTATTATTATTATTATTATTATTATTATTAATACCACACCCATCTGGCTGGGTTTCCCCAGCCACTCTGGGTGGCTCCCAACAAAAGATTAAAAACACGATCAAACATTAAAAACTTCCCTAAACAGGGCTGCCTTCAGATGTCTTCTAAAAGTCAGATTGTTGTTTATTTCTTTGACATCTGATGGGAGGGCGTTCCACAGGGTGGGTGCCACCACCGAGAAGGCCCTCTGCCTGGTTCCCTGTAACCTCACTTCTCGCAAGGAGGGAACCGCCAGAAGGCCCTTGGCCCTGGATCTCAGTGTCCAGGCTGGACAATGGGGGTGGAGATGTTCCTTCAGGTCTACTGGGCCGTTTAGGGCTTTCAAGGTCAGCACCAACACTTTGAATTGTGCTTGGAAACGTACTGGGAGCCAATGTAGGTCTGGTGTTATATGGTCTCCCAGTCACCACTCCCAGCCACTGAGTCACGATTGCTAGGAAAAAACCCTGGAGAGGAAGGGACTTAGACGGCTGTGGGGAAGCGGGGACCCTCAATCATTACAGATGATGATAATAATAATAATAATAATAATAATAATAATAATAATAATAATAATAATAATAATAATTTATTATTTATACCCCACCCATCTGCCTGAGTTTCCCCAGCCACTCTGGGCGGCTCCCAATTGAGTGTTAAAAACAATACAGCATTAAATATTAAAAACTTTCCTAAATAACTTCATGGTGGCAGGACCTACCAGAAATGAGTTGCTGTGTTTATTAAGCTTGACACTCTTGTACAGATTGTGGTTTTGCTAATAAAGAGTTAACTCCAACTTGCTCAGTGTGATTTATAGCTGGCCCGCTCCAGACAACAACAGCCACAGCATCTCACACAACCGGTTGTCAGTGATGATGGGAGTTGGAGTCCAACATGAGGGTCACAGATCTGCCCCCCCCCCAAACCTTCACTCTGTTGTCCCCACCCACCCAAATTAACATATCTCCACTGGCTCATATTGTCTCCATACTTCCTTTCATTTTCTCCTTGGAAATATCTATTGCAAACTTCTGGGAGCAGAGACCTGCACTCAGTTGCTCAACTTTAAATTCCATGCGCACCAATGGCACTCTGCCACTTTAAAATAAAAAATAAAAATCACGAGGACTAGGAATGCTTCTCTTTTGCCGGAGAGACTGCTGGATATGAATTATTTTCTAAAGGGGTTGCGTATTGTGTTGGCTGAACTCATCCTGAGTTGTGCAAAGCTCTGTCCCAGAAAAATAGGGGGAAATGTCACCACTTTTGCAACAGGCAATTTTGTCAAGGCAGGCATTGCATAATTAACTGCAAGGGAAGCTTTGCAGAACGAATTGCATCAAGGCACCAAAACAAAAAAGTACCTCTCTCTGCCCTCGAAGACCTGAAGCTGCAGATTCCAACCTTTAAAATAAAAAACAGCTTCGTGGAGGAAGATGAGCCCTTTTAGTGGAAATTAACCGGGATACCACACAGTGCTTCCTTGTGTGGAGGCAGTCTGAATGCAAGAACAATGCCACCCCCACCCCCAAGACAGCACTTGCCTGCAGCCTTGCAATCTGAGACACAACACAAAAGGAAAAAGGGATGGGGAGGGAAGAGGGGTGAAAGCAAACTCGTGAACCAATTCTTAAAATGCAGCGGTAGTTCTTACAGCCAGCTGTAAGAATGGAAACATTGGTGGGGCGGGGGGAGCTTTTGCCAAATGTTGAATCTAAAATTTCAACCCATGGTATCTGACTGAGTCCTACTCAGAGTAGACCCATTGAGAACAAGGAACCCGGGTTCGCGATGTCCCTTAACTTCAGTGGGTCTCCTGCACACAGGACTAGCATTGGCACAACCTGAAGTTTAAACCTATTATTATTATTCTTGGGACGCATGTTTCAAATTCGAAACGAGGCATGCGAAATTAGGGATTTCCAGGTCCTTGGCCCTCGGTCCGTGATGCCCTCAAATGCCCACCCTTAACCCACCCCTCTACGCTCTTCCTTCTCCTCCCCAAACAGACACTGGATTGCGCGTGAGTACATGTGGGTTGTGGTCTCCTACATGGCCTACGACATCTACGTCATGTACCTCTGCCACTGGCACAAGTGCGAGGAGAAAGGGGAGGCGCACCCAAAGTATTCTCTGGCCAGCGTCAACAGCTTCCTGCAGAGAGAAAGGCTGATGGTCACACACCACCTTTTCATCCTCATCGTCCTCACGCCAGTGGCTACGGTGAGAGCACTTGGGTTTTCTCAAGGAGTTTGGCGCGTTCTGGGTGTTAATAATAATAATAATAATAGTTTATTATTTATACCCCACCCATCCGGCTGGGTTTCCCCAGCCACTCTGGGCGGCTTCCAACAGAACACTAAAATACAATAACCTATTAAACATTAAAAGCTTCCCTAGACAGAGCTGCCTTCAGATGTCTTCTAAAAGTTTGGTAGTTATTTTCTCTTTGACATCTGGTGGGAGGGCGTTCCACAGGGTGGGTGCCACCACCAAGAAGGCCCTCTGCCTGGTTCCCTGCAACTTGGCTTCTCGCAGGGAGAGAACCGCCAGAAGGCCCTCGGTGCTGGACCTCAGTGTCCGGGCTGAACGATGGGGGTGGAGATGCTCCTTCAGGTATACTGGACCGAGGCCATTTAGGGCTTTAAAGGTCGGTACTAACACTTTGAATTGTGCTCGGAAACATACCTGTGGGCACTCTGCCATGCTTGCTGGGAGACGCCCACCCGCGCAGGCACAAGCGTGGAAACTTCCCGGAAAGTGTCTGTAATCGCCATGATTAACTAGCAGCCTTGCATCTATGGTACAAAACTGAAAGCTTTGGGCCGCCATCTTGATTCAAAATGGCGACCAGTGGTATCCAAAGGCAGCCAAAAGCCTGTTCCTTGATCCTGGGGCGCACGTGCAAAATTTGGTTAAAATCAGTGCCATTTTGAAAGGTCCAGCCTACCATCTCGATTCGCAATGGTGCCCAATTATTTTTAAAATTTCTATACTTTTTGTATTTTTAAGAAAAATTTCAGAGCGGTTAAAAAAAAGTAAAGGATACCTGACAGTCAAGTCCAGTCGCGAACGACTCTGAGGTTGCGGCGCTCATCTCGCTTTACTGGCTGAGGGAGCCGATGTTTGTCCACAGACAGTTTTTCCGGGTTATGTGGCCAGCACAGCACATTAAATCAAGAAAACATAAATAAAACAATCTGAAGAAAGTCAAATACAGTGGTACCTCTGGTTACGAACTGAATCCGTTCTGGAGGTCTGTTCGTAACCAGAAACCATTCTTATCCTGAGGCATGCTTTCGCTAATGGCGCCTCCCGCTGCGTGCGCGGGCCTCTGGCGCACGATTCCCACTCGCATCCCGGGGCAAAGTTCGCAACCAGGAACAGCTACTTCCGGGTTAGCGGAGCTCGTAATCCAAAGCGTGCGTAACCAGAAGTGTTCATAAACAGAGGTACCACTGTGTAGAGTATACAGTGGTACCTCAGGTTAAGTACTTAATTCGTTCTGGAGGTCTGTACTTAACCTGAAACTGTTCTTAACCTGAAGCACCACTTTAGCTAATGGGGCCTCCCACTGCTGCCGCGCCACCAGAGCACAGTTTCTGTTCTCATCCTGAAGCAAAGTTCTTAACCTGAAGCACTATTTCTGGGTTAGCGGAGTCTGTAACCTGAAGCGTATGTAACCTGAAGCATATGTAACCCGAGGTACCACTGTTCAGTCAAAGCAATGTAACAGAAAACTAAAATATTATCTTAAAGATTTCAAAATAAAACATTACAAAGAAGGTCAACTACAGAATACATATTTAACATAGTAGCGCTGGTGAGTGTGTGCCCTGTTCCCTAAGGCCAGGTGGAAAGGGCCTTGCAGGATGCGGCCTTCATGCTTCACAGCCGGGCGATGTTCCTCTGGCCTCATGAGGAGCCTCTACTTGGATTATATCCAAGCATAGAAGGGCTCCTTGATTCGGGAACCATGGTGCAAAATTCTGTTTGAAACAGCATCCCAGGAATAGCAAAAGCCTGTCCCTTGATTTCAGGAACTGTGGTGCAAAATATGGCTGTGATATCTTCAGAGCTGTCCATGCAGCTGCCCGGGAAGGCTGCCCGGAAGGGAATTTGACCCTCAGACTGAAAAGCATTCCCTACTGCTCCTCACCAACGCCAGAAGGAGCTGTTTAGGGTTGCTGGGTTGCAAGCCGCTTGCACAGACACACAAATCCCTGAAATTCTCTCCCCTGCTTTCGTCCACAGCACTTCAGAGGTGAGCTGGGAGACTTCTTCGTCGGCTGCATCTACACGGCTGAGCTGAGCACCCCCTTTGTATCGTTGGGCAAGATCCTGTTGCAGGTAAAACCGCAACCCCAGGCTTTCTCAGACACTCGGTGTCCGATACCCGTTTCTTTTACTCCCTGGTTAAAAGTAGAGATGTGCTTTGCTCTGAGGCTCAGGGCAGTTGTGTTTCTGATGGCAAAAGACAGAATTTCCTGCCATCGCAATCACCTGCCTTCATTTCTCCACAAGTCACTGGTTGTTGTTTTTTTAAATGAAAAACAAAAGCAGTGCAAAGCAGTACAATCGTGCAGAGCAGCAACAGGCACACCCCCGAGAGAGATGCTAAATGCACGTACCGGTGACTTGGAAACATGCTGCAAATGCACGGCTTTGTTGTCCTACACAAAGGAGGAGGATGTTGCTGGAAATATGGTGTGTGGTTTTATAATTTGTTGGAAGCCACCCAGAGTGGCTGGGGCGACCCCGTCTGATGAGGATTATTAATACAGTGGTACCTCAGGTTAAGAACTTAATTCGTTCTGGAGGTCCGTACTTAACCTGAAAATGTTCTTAACCTGAGGTACCACTTTAGCCTATGGGGCCTCCCACTGCCGCCGCCCGATTTCTGTTCTCATCCTGAAGCAAAGTTCTTAACCTATTTCTGGGTTAGCAGAGTCTGTAACCTGAAGCGTCTGTAACCTAAAGCGTCTGTAACCCGAGGTACCACTGTAATAATTTCCCCAGCTCTAGGGTTTTCTGGTTGTTGTTGTTGTTTAAATACAGTGGTACCTCGGGTTAAGTACTTAATTCGCTCCAGAGGTCTGTTCTTAACCTGAAGCGCCACTTTAGCTAATGGGGCTTCCTGCTGCCGCTGTGCGATTTCTGTTCTTATCCTGAAGCAGAGTTCTTAACCTGAGGTAATATTTCTGGGTTAGCAGAGTCTGTAACCTGAAGCGTCTGTAACCCGAGGTACCACTGTAATAGTTTCCACAGCTCTAGGGTTTTCTGGTTGTTGTTGTCATTTAGATAGCTGTATAGAACCGTTTTTACCTCCCGCTTTCTCTTCCCCAGCTGAAAATGCAGGATTCGGCCTTGCACAAAGTCAACGGCGTCCTCGTCCTGGTGACCTTCTTCCTGTGCCGCATTGTCCTCTTCCCCTTCATGTACTGGGCCTACGGTCGCCAGGCCGGCCTCCCCATCTACAAAGTGCCTTTCCACATCCCCCTCCACTGCAACGTGGCCAACGCCCTGCTCATCGCCCCTCAGCTCTACTGGTTCGCCCTCATCTGCCGCAAGGCCCTGCGGCTGTACAGAGCCCCGCCGGCCCCGGACCGAGCCCGATAATGGCGGCCTGAGACCTGCTCCCTGTCGGCTGGGTCCTGCCCGCCCCGACTTTCTGCGCCAGCCTCTGGGGAGAGACCTCTCAGTCGGGACGCCGTGGGCTTTGCCCAGGAGTGACAGGCGACGCTACCTCTGCAGGTGGCCCCTGGGTGAAATCCGGTTGCCATACGGTGCCAACAAAGGCCGGATTGCTTTTTGTTTTGATCTGTTCTGAGGAGTCTACTGCCAGAAGATTGCTGCTGGATCCGGCCACCCACACACCTCGCCCAGCACCCCGTTCTCACATTCGCACCCGCCAAGGTGCTCAAAATAGGCCGGGACTCCTGGAAGCTGCTTCCAGTTTGCAGGATGGGGGCAGTGTGCCAGGATCCGGCCCCCTGCCAGCGCTGGCCTCTCTTGTGACAAAAGGGCGTGCAGAGAGGGGGCACTGGGTAGGCCGCCTGTAGGTTTCTCGGTGGTTTCTGTGAAATGGAGGGTTTATTGCTTCCCAAGTCATGCTCTGAATAGGAGCAAGAAAACGATTCCCTCCCCCCCCCCAATTATACTGCTGAAGTGAAGAAGGCGGGGGGGGGCAGATAACCCAGAGTACATTTTCCGCAGGGGAGGACTGTGAACTTTTTCGCCCCAGGATTCGAATCGTGGGCTTGGGACCCAAGCGCCGGTTTGGGAAAATCAAGCTGTCTTTCCACCCACTCCCCAAGCTGTAAAAATGGGGTGTGGAGGGTATGGATTCTATGCTGGGGAAGAAAATGGGGCATTGGGCAGTCTGGTCATCATATTCGGGGGGGGGGGGAATGACCAGGCAGCTGGAGGTCTCGGGGCCAAATCAAATGTGTTGGTTTTTCTTTGTCCTGCCTGTAAAACGAGTATTTTTGTCGAGACCCTGCAGGGGTCGGCCTAAAATCTCCGCGCCAGCAACGCCAGCGTCACACAGGGGTAAAGCTTCCCCACGCAATTCGCACCCGGCTCCCCGTTGACGGTGGCCCTCTGTTTGGAGCACAAGAAGTCTGCCGCAAGTGGAGCTTGGGTCTAACCCAGGTCTAGTTCAGCTGGTAGAACATGAGACTCTTAATCTCAGAGTCGGGGGTTCAAGCCCTGCCCCACCTTGGGCAAAAAAAATCCTGCATTGCACGGGGTTCGACTAGATGACCCTTGTTGTCCCTTCCAGATCGACAATTCTATGAAAAGCCGTGGCCTGCCAGATGGGGCTGGACTACAACTCCCATCATTCCCCTGGCCATTGACCACGATGGCTTCTGAGATTTGGAGTCCAGCAGCGTTTGATTCCTCCATCACTGGTGCAATCCATTTTCTTACAGGGGTGTTCCCCCCCCCCAATCACTTCTTGTGCCCATTTTCTTTCTGGTCAAGCTGGTCTTTTTTCTACCTCCTTGTTTATGTCTGATCTTTCCGGAACGCCTTTGCAAGTACCACGTTGGAGCCGCCTTTGGATCGATGCGGCTACAACTTCTCCTTAACACACCGGCGTCTCCTCTGAGGTTGTGGTGCTCTCCAGAGGTCCCCAAACTTCATCAGAAGCGCCTTTCACTTCATCAGAAGTGGCTTTTTACTGCCTCCAACAGTATTGGGACACCACAGCCAGCCTGCCTAGCCGCCAGCGATAAGCTTCATCCTCCACAACTGTGCCTCATCCCCTTTTAAAAACAACCAAGATGGCCGCCCTCACGACAACTTAGGGGAGCAAATTCCATATCGGCGCTGGACAAAATTTTTTTCGCTCCGTTTCCCAGCTCTCAGCGTCATTAGATGTCCCCATTGGATTCTAGTGCAGTGGTACCTCAGGTTAAGTACTTAATTTGTTCCGGAGGTCCGTTCTTAACCTGAGGCACCACTTTAGCTAATGGGGCCTCCCGCTGCCGCTGCGCTGCCGGAACACGATTTCTATTCTTATCCTGAAGCAAAGTTCTTAACCTGAAGCACTATTTCTGGGTTAGCGGAGTGTATAACCTGAAGCGTATGTAACCCCAGGTACCACTGTACAGTGGTTTACCTCGGTTGTCGAACGTAATCCATTCCGGAAGACCGTTTGACTTCTGAAATGTTTGACAACCGAGGCGCAAAGGGCGGTCTGCAACATCAATGGAGAAAATGGGGGGGGGTCCTCACCGGAAGCCATTCGATTTCCAAAAAGCATTCGAAAACGGAAACTATTCTGGGTTTTCGGCGAAAACCGCAATGTTCGGCTTCCAGGATGCTTGAAAACCGAGGTACCACTGTATTTGGGAGGTTTTCTTCCTCATATCCACTGTTCTCCACACTGTGCATTGTGGAGAACAGAAGATGGGGAGGTTATCTTCTCCTCTACCTCATATAACCCTCTTCCTAAACTAAACCCTCACCCCCCAAATGCTGTCGCTTTTCCTCGCTGTGGAGTCACTCAGAAACCTCAAATCTCTTCCCACAGTCCTTTTCAGGGATGATGGGAACTATTGTCTGACGACAGCTGCCAAGTTGCCCACGCCTGCCAAAAGCTCTGACCATGCCTATATGTCCCAGACTTTCCCTTTATTAATATTATTTTCCTTGAGACCAATAAGGTGCCTTGTGTACAACAGGACGGGGAACAGCCCTCAAATGTCTCTGAAATTGCACAAATCCCAGGAGATATTTTCCTTTCCCCTCAGCAAACTCGCTGGTTTACAATATCTGCTCCAATATGCCTGAATGTCGTTTTTATTTGAAAGGAAGATCATATGCCAGGGATATGAGAGAGGTTGAGGGAACAGCAAACTCCATCCCTGTTCTACAATATTTAAATGCTGTTTTTTGACTTCCAAGCGATGCTACGAGACGTGGCTAGACGTGCCAAACATCTTAAAAATGCCTTTTGAAGTCGCCCGGTGGAATCGGCAGCAGGGAGGCCGACAGACGCATATTTCCCTCCCTGGGAACCTTCGACGTTATATTGCAAAATGAGAAAGGAATGTACTGTAAATAAGTATTCACTGTGTCCCTCAAAACCAGAGGATTCTACGGGTTTTGGGTTCTCCAAAAGATCACAGACAAGTGCCTAGGAGCCGCCCAAAACATTATAACCACTTGCAGCGTTTACACACTACTCTCTGGGGGACAGCGTCAAGCAACCCTCGAGGAAAAGTCTCCTGTCACTGTGACACAACCCTGCCAAAATGGGTGAGGAAGGAAAAAAGAGAGACTCCATATTAAATGGTTTTATGTCACTGGATTCACTGTTTTCTCCTGCAAGACTACAGACCTGGTATATATATATATTTGAAAGCAGACAAATAAAAGATAACCTGTTGAGAAATTTGAATTGTTGACTCTTGTTCAGGGCTCGATATAATCCTGGCGCATTTTGTGACCGAGTGAAGATACCTGGGGGCCAGGATGGTGCCTGATGTCTCCACAACTTGGAGATGCATGCCTGGGGATCACGGGATCTTGACCATGGGTAGGCAAACTAAGGCCTACTTTTTGAACCATGAAACTCTGCTGGTTAAGGATTTAGTAAAACACTAAAATCAAGTGTAACGGACAACTGATTAAAAAGCTAAAAGCAGAACTAGGGAGGCGAAAGACAAGCCTTAAAGATCTGGCCCAACTAAAAGAGTGCAAATACAAGGAACCCTTCAAATTTAGTACCCAGGTGCCACAGGTTGGCATTTTCTTTTTGACCACTTTTTGTGGCAATGCTTTGGTTCAGCGCTGCCTCAACTTTTGCAAAGAATGCCTGGACAACTCATCTTGCAGAGGCTTTAGCCGTTAAATGATGTGGTGCAGAGGGGAATATTGGGTGCCTAACCATTTTAGGATAATCATTATTTTGCTATTACAGGAGAGACCACCAACAGGTGTCTGCGTTCTGCCAGGTTTTTCCTCCAAGCCCCAGAAATAGTAGCTGACTCCGCAAAAACTCTCAGCAGGGTTTGCAGTGAGTTACAGAACAGATAAATTAATGGGCCCAAGTCGAGCCACGTCGACTGCACATGGTTAATGTTGCATACTAGCCAGAGATTTAAAAACCCTTAGCTCTTTCAGTGTTAAATCTATAAAATCACCTTGAGACCTATGTAAAAGGCGATTGATAAATGAACTGGTAACGACAAGCTGCATCCAACATTCGTCCTACTCTGAGTAAACCCACTGAAATTAAAGGATGTGACTAGCTTAAGTGCTTCAGTTTCAGGAATCTGAGTTGAATTTAGTAGGAGATACACTCCAATAACCACAAAATAACAACAAACAGGGATTGCCAAAATGCTTATATCCCATCTCGACCACAGAGGTCATCTGAAGGTGTGTTGTGGGTCATCCCCCAAGTCAGCGAGTCTCATTTGACAACGGCAGCTTTCAGTGCCATGGGCCCAGTCCTGTGGAACTCTCTGCCACTGGAGACTCAGCAGGCACCTTCTCTGCCAACTTTTAAGCACCTGCTGAAAATTTTTCCAATTCCACTAGGACTATGGAGGTAATTAAGAGTGCACCCTTCCACAATGGTTTGCTGCTGCTCATTTTCAAGCTTTTTTTGTGCTTTTACAATACACGTTTTACGTTTTCCTTGCTGTAAATCACTTTGATATGTATATTTATGCATATGGCAGCATACAACTTTTCCCACAAATAAATACCAATTAGCCGGTTGCGAAAACCATCAACAAGGAAAGTGATAAAAAGGTTTATTATAGAGGTTCCCAATCTCCCACCCTGCTCCTTTGGGGAGAGACGCCTGCAGAACGAACTAGGGTCCTGAGGTCCAGAAGGCACCTTCAACTCCGTACGGACCGCACGACCTGCTTCCCAGTTCTCGAACCGCGGCCGGCTTCACAGCTTCCGGAGCTTTTGCAGGAGCATCGTTCGCAGCTCCTTGTTGGTGACGTTCTCCGCGATGGACTCCAGGAAGTGCCTCTCGTTGGCTTTCCTCAGGGCGCTGCCGAGGGCCTCGTCGGCGTCGTAGAGCATCTCGTACTGCGAGAGGATCTCCAGGGAGAGGAGGAGGAGGGGCTCGCCCGTGCCGTCGTCTGGCAGCATGGCGGCCACGTGGAGGGCGTGGCAGAAGATCTGGACGTAGACGAAGGACAGCTCTCGTGTCACGTTGTTCTTCTCCTGGGCCGGCTGCCACTGATTCCGGGCAATGCCCTTGACCGAACCCAGCAGATCGGACACGGCCAGGCAGTACAGCCGGGCCACGTGCCTCCACGCCTCCGCCGGCAGCCAGGTGGAGCCGCTGGCGCCGCAGAGGAACTGGAAGGCCCTCAGGAGAAGAACCGAGAACTGGAGATGGTAGGCAAACGGGCGGAAGTTCAGCAAGGGCAGGAACTGGACGTATTCCAGCGAATAAGGCACGTACAGCACTTCCTGGTCTAAGAGGCTCTGAACCACGCCAACCAGCCTCCGCCACTCGCTGTGGCTGCACCAGGGGAAGACCTGGACCAGGGCCACCAGGAAGCCTTTGCTGAAGAGGTTGACCTCCTCGGGGTTGTCCACGTTGACGGTGAGCAGTGTCAGCATCTCCTCCCGCAAGGCGGCAGAGACGCAGCAGCACTCCATCCACGCCAGCAGGCCGCTGCCCGCGCCGTAGTTCGGGAGCGGACAGGACGTCCACTCGCCCTCCGGGAGCTTGCAGACCTCAAAGAGCGTGGCCGGGACCTCGTTCTTGAAGTGCTCCCCGTAGATGTTCTTCAGGCGGAGGCCGACGGTCCAGTCCAAGGCTGCCACCTTCTTGTGCAGCCAAGCCACCGACTGCGCCCACAGCTCGGGCGACAGGGAGTCCTTCTGCGCCAAGAGGGCGTCGCAGAGCTGAGCTAGGTTGGCGGCCACCAAGTCCTTGGCTTCCAAGGAGAGGCAGTGCTGGTCTTGCGGCTCGTGCCAGTACTGGGCAAAGCCGTCGAGTAGCTTGCAGAGGCAGAAGAGGAGAGGGAAAGGGTGGCAGCTGTGGAGCCAGCTGCCCTCCTCGGCGGGCAGCGGCACTTTCAGGACTTTGTTGAGGATCTGCAAGCACAGCTCGACGCAAGGGGAGCCCGCCTTCAGGAAAGGGAGGACGAGGGCCTGCGTCACCTCTGCCGGAGAGAGGAGAGGCCTTGCTCCGCTCGGCTGCAAGAGATAAACCAAGAACTCCAGGAACTGCTCCTTCTCCTTGGGCGACGAGAGGCGGTCCCAGACGGCTTCTTTCAGGCACCCCAGCAGCAGGCTGACGGGCGCTCCCTCCGAGTCCAGAGTCTCCCGGAAGCTCAGAGCCGGGAAGGAACACAGGATCTCCGCCAAGAACTGGTGGGTCCCCAGATTGGCCACGGCTAAGTTGCTCATTTTCTTGATGGTGGCCTCCGGGTTGAGGACGACCAGCCGGGACACGGAAGCCACGGCCTTCTTCAAGCCTTCTCCGGAGGCGCTCTGGATGATCTGGTTGAAGGCCACGTTGAGGTCTTCCTGGAACCCCTCCGAGAAAGCCGGAGACACCTTAGAGAGGCCCCGCCTGCCCCAAGCAGCCAAAACGCCCGAAATCACTTTGTTCTTATCGGGCAAGGGGAGGTCCATGTAGCATGCCAGCAGGACCCTCGCCACCGTGGCTTGCTGCTCCTGCTTCCCGGAGGAGTCGGCAGACGCCAACGTCTCCAGCAATTTCGAGACCAGCTCTGGTTCCCGGAACAGGTCTTTGTTCCGCGCGAGGCAAGCGACCCACTCGTCTGTAAACGCCCAGCTTTTCTCCGAAGCAAAAAGGGAGCACATCTCTTGGTGCCTGTCCATCTTTTTCTCATGACCACCATGGCCACCGACGGCAGGAGGTCGCCACCGGCGCTCTTGCCCCACAACTCAGGGCTCACCTTCTTCAAGAAGCCTGCGATGAGGTCACCCAGCGCCGACATCTCCTGCGCAGCATCTCTGTTGTGGTCTTCCTG